GAACTATTGGGTTGGCAACTAAGTAATCGCCGATTTCAGTTATAGATGTCTCTCACTCCCATTTTTATGATATCCGTAAATGTTATATTATGAAATTATTATTATTATTATTATTATTATGTTATTTTTTATTATCCGTGAATGTTAGCAAGCGGGCAAATTGAATGCAGCGGTCAAGGAAAAGCGACCAGAATTGGTCGATCGTAAAGGTGTCATTTTCCAGCAGGACAATGCCAGGCCGCACACGTCTTTGTCCACTCGGCAAAAATTGATGGATATTGGTTGGGAATCGATGTTACACCCACCATATAGCCCTGATCTCGCGCCATCGGATTACCACTTATTTCGATCCCTGGACAACTCCCTTCGTGGTAAAACTTTTAACGACGATGACGCTGTAAAATCTCACTTAACTCAGTTTTTGGCCGAAAAGGATCAGACTTTCTACGAGCGTGGAATTTTCAAATTGTCAGAGAGATGGCAAAAGGTCATCGAACAAGATGGAAAATACATTACAGATTAAACTTCGTTCCAAGTAAAAAAACATTTTTTATTTCATTGAACAAATCGGCCAATCGAACAAATTGCCAACCCAATAACTCTCGATCTTCTGCTACGTGTGTTTACGTTACTCGTGTTCCAGAGCGGGCGTGGTTTCGTTCGCTTTCGCTTTCGTCGGGCCGAGGACGATCCCCGCGGGGCAACTCGTGTCACCGCGAGACACGCTCCCGGGCGAAACACGTCAAACTGGGAGAAGAGTTCCGACCTTACTCTTTATATTATTATTCTGTTTTAAACGATGCTCCGTTGGTCTCGGTTTCTACGCGGCAAGGCCAATGCTCTGCGAGCTAATTTGCATCATCGCGTGCCCCGCAGCCTCGGATGCCCCCCCATGGGCGTGCAGCATGGACACTCTTAATCAGCTGAATCTTGGCAGCTACGCCTAGAAACCGGTGGAACGACGTCCGCGTCGATCGCAATAACTAATTTTTCTGTAAAAAAAATATCTTCGGTAGATGTTACTCTGTTATTGGCAGCTTGGGAGGCATTTGTTTGCCTGCTTATAAGTGCTTAGGAATCTGAACTTGGACGCGTTTCTCTAATTAACACGTTCCGTGCCGAGATTTTTTTACTCGAATCTTCACACTTTGATATTTTACTAAAACTTGATGTATTACGTGCAATTATTAATTCTCGTACACGTAACAACGTAACAAAAACTTATCAACGCCCATTCTTGCGGTGGAAATTGATTCTTCGGTTCTAAATTTCTTATAAACAATTTGTTCAGTTCGCTAAGTAAACATGCAAGCGTGTACCATCGATGGTACACGTGGCACGGAACGTGTTAACGATTCGATGTGTTTGCAAATTATGATACACGGGTGAGAAGAAACAGTAACGTGTTGTTCTGGGTCTTTTAAAGATAGGCGACAAATTGGAAAGATCGTCGGGAAGACATGATATAACATTAGGGGATGATACGTAAGGAAAGTCAAGGACGGTGTACGGATCAGATATCCGATTCTGAGCAATTTTCTCAGCTGAAAAATTGAAATTTCGTACTTCTGAGACAATTTTTCAGTCGAAAAAAATACATTGAAATAGATTATTGCAATCGAATAAATAATTGGCGAATATTCGGTGGTTTTCTCCCTTTAGAATGAATTTTCGCAAGAACGAAATGCACGTAATAAGATTCTCTAATTGACGCTCAGCTTGTGCACAAAAACGAACAATTTGGGAAGAGGCGATGCGATTATTCGAGCCTTCTGACACGTTTTTATAGCAACCGATTGTCGATAACTATGAAAACGAGCCGCAAAGCTGGAATAATCGTACCTCCTCCTCCTAAATTATCCATTTTTGTTTCCAAGCTGAGCGTCAATTAGGGAGAATTTACTGTATTAATGTCTCCCTAATTGTCGTCCAAATTGTGCACAAAACTAGACAATTTGCGAAGAGGAGATACGATTATTCGAGCCTCGCGGCTCGTTCTTATAATTACCGATTGTGAACAACTATAAAATAACTGTAGCACGAACAATAATAGTTGTAAAATAGCTGGAATAATCGCATCTCCTCTTCCCAAATTGTCCATTTTTGTTTGCAAGCTGAAAGAAAATTTAGAAAGAATTGACTGTAAATGGATCTTCGTTAGCAGACGAACAATCGGTAACTATAAAAACTAACTGCAAGGCTCGAACAATCGTGTCTCCTCTTCCCAAATTGTCCATTTTCGTGCACAATCTGAAAGTCAATTAAGGAGAATTTACCATATACGTATGCTCTGCATATCCCCAAAGTTTCAAAATTCTTTGTATCTCCGGATTAAGGGTCATCCCTTGTCAGTTGCGCTGATTACATCGTGACAATCCATGTCATAATCTAGACGCATACTAACCCTTTGCGGACGAGAACTTCTTAAAGCATTAATAATATAATCCTGATAGAACTAGATTATGTATCGAAGACTTAAATAATGGGAAAAATGAATAATATATCTTGATTTACTTTTCTGTGCATCATCGAATTACTCACTTGCAACTTTTGAAGCAATATGCATAGTCCTGATGTCGTCGGTACGTCGACATCCGTCCTCAAATGGCTAAACTGATATCTAAGATCACCGAAGCGGGCCCACCTGTTAAACGGCAACCTATCGAGCAAGGCCCCCGCCACCTCCGGAGCAGTTCCGCAAGTTTTTCGCATGCAACACACGTAACATGGTCGCGTTAGATCGCGCGATGTAACGGGCCACCCGCGGACATCTCGCGATTCTGCATATCGTCGTTGTTACAGGCTCCACCAATCTCCTCCTCAAGTTGGCGGAGGAGCGGAGGTGCGGAGGAGTTACTTGTGCAAGCTCGGCGGCTCGGTGAGAGCAAGGCTTGCGGTTCCCCGTCCGACGACACTGCGTACCATTGTGTCCCGAGTCGAGCTTCCGCGATTCCCCGGCTGCCTTGTAACGGGGCCCGCGTGTTCCCCGATCGTTACCACGCGGCCGCCACAGTTAACAAACTCCTGTTACGCTTCTTCTTCTTGTTGCGACCTCTCGGATCCCGGCTCTCTCGTCGAGTCGCTTTTTATCGCGCGGAGAAACAGCTTGTACGTTTCCAGGCTTCCCGAGAAATTCGACGGACCGTAGTCCTACGTCGGTGTAGGGTAAGTGTGGGTATTACTGCGGACGACCCAAATACCGTGGTGTTTTATCAAAGTAACGAAATCTAATATTTTATCGTGTGTTTAGTCCTCTAAAAATGAGTCTCGTAATCTTTTGTACGTTTAATATCGTTTAATATTATTTATGACGAGCGAGTAACGGCAATCGCGTTTTTTTTATATCGGCGGTAATTCGGTGCAAAGGGGTGAAAAACCACCCCCGACAGTTTCGCGTGTGACATTAAAATTTGAGAGAATTGCGCATTTCCTCGCAACATTAAAATTATCCCCGTTATTTTGGAGGCGAGACATACTTTGGGGGTGAGTTTCGCCCCTTCATACCGAATTACCACCGATAGAAAAAGAAAACGCGTGTCGCTTAGTTTTTTGAGTAGTTCAATATATCGGAAAAGCAAAAAAAATCGAAGGAAAACACTTACCCAATGCTCCTTGTAAATACATAGCACGTTCCATTTTTCTTTAACAGAGATTCGACTTTAATTTCTTCACTCTTTTCATAGATCGAACATTTGATATAACAAAATCCTCCGTTTAATTGCGAGTGGTAATGGACAAAAACTAAGTCGACAAATAATATCCTGACATAGCCCTGCAACCATCAAAAAAAGAATTCAGTTAACCGATGTCGTTGTATTTGAGCCGTTTATTTTGAAAGTGGCATAAGTCACTTTGCTTTTAAGTCGATATATTTAAGGGTTTGCGTTTGAACGCGTTTAACCCGAGAAAGATAACCTACGTCGCAGAGGCGCCTGCGAAGACTGTTGATTTTTGTTAATTTTTCATATAGGTCTAGTGATTTAAGTTTAAAATTACTTAAAATATAAAAAAATATAATATAAATGCATTTTATTTTTACAATAATGCCAAACCTTTAAAATGACTAGATTAACTTAAATAAATATCCATTGTTAG